CTTTCCTTCCTCTCAAACACACATGCGCTGTTGCTAACAAAGTGGTGACATTTTGTCTACTAGCTTAGTGCTGTGTGTGTGTGTGTATGTATGTAGATGTGTGTGTGTGTGTGGGTGTGGGTGTGGGTGTGTGTTGTCTGTTCATCCCCAGAGCAGTTTGCTTTAATCTCCTCTAATTTCATTCTCAATCTTTATGGAAATCAACTCTCAGAACCAACTCCTCATTTCACCATCTCCCTTACTAATTAAGACCAGGAAATTGTTCCTGGAATTGGCTGGCATGAGAGAAGTGTGTCTCATCCCTCAATCACTTCCTCATTCTCTCTTTGCATCTGCAGTTGTTTTTCTCACATTTGTGGTTACGTGTCTGCTTTTCTTTCCCACTGCGAGTTTCTCACCATTTGTGGTTGTTCTGTCTCCACGTATGCGTTGTGCCTGCGTGTTTGTCTCAGTCTCCTGTGTGTATTTCCTTCACTGTGACAGTATCTCGTTCTCTCTTTGTCTTTCAGTTTCTGTCCATGTACGTGTGTATCTGTCTGTTGTGTGAGTAGCCATGTGGTGGATTTAGGGCTAAAGCTTTGGGTGATTACTCCCATAATAAACCATCATGCTCTGTTCAGGCTGTCATCCCCCACAGGGATTGACTGTATTATGAAGTTATCATTCAGTCTCAGCAATATTCTCTGTCCTCACATAACTCTTTTAACCAATATAGCTCTACACAGGGAATCTGATAATGATTAGATTTATATTGCCTGAAATTAAACCTTATCATTTAGGTGGGAAGATGTTCTGGACAATTTTGAAAAAAGCTTTGTCAGTGTATCTCCAGAAAGCAAGGCAGTGATCATGTTGCCTTGCTTTCTGGAGATATACTGACAAAGCTTTTTCTAGCACCTTGTTCACACATACAGATTCAACCGTGGCAGGCTGGCTCTTACCTCTCATGAGTCTCCTGCTTGTTTTTAACTTGCCTGCCTATTTGCTTACAATATTTACCTTGCAGTATAAGTAATTGATACTGTATAGTACAACAATAACACAGAAAGTGGCAAGAATGACTGACACTGTGGTCCCATATTTGCCCTCAAGTAAGTCCGGTCATGGTGAAGTTGGGGTCAGGGTTAATGAGCGCTATTAGTTGTTGCTTACACATGTCAGAGAACATTAAGCAAAAACTACCTGAAGCTCTTTGCACAACTGGGCGACATTTGACAATTGGGGTCTCGGTTTCTGGTGCTAGCATGTGTGTTGTTGCTCAGTAGACATTTTTTCCTTTACAAACAATTGAGAATGTGCACTCTGCATAAAAACATTTATGTCCAATATTTCATTATAATTTATTCTATATGGATATTTACAGTATTTAGTTAGAATTATTCTGGGTAACATTAGCATACATACATTTTCTCAGTGCATACCATCAAAATACTATAATACACTTAATACAGTATATACCAGATGCCAAACTCATGCCTGCAGTGTATTTCGATTATAATAACTTTGTCTATACAGTATTTGAGTATTATTCAGTTACAGGATATTATGAAAAACACACGCTTGCGCTTGCATTCTTAAATACAAATTTTTTTAATGAAATATTAGGCTACAAGCTACGCGATGCCTTGTTTCCATACAAAGCTCTATCGGCTGTCAAGTCATGCACTGAATTGCACTATTCCTTTTAGATACATAAACACACAGTAATCATGAGATGCCATATTTTAAAACAGACATCTCTTTCTCATTAGTTTCTGTTCAGAGCTACCCACCACTTTATTAAAATCCAAGGCTCTGACCAGATCACTACATGCAAATAGCTAATTATGAACTTTGAGCTAGCCTCGGTTTTCCCTTTTGGGTTATTAAAATTTTCTACACAATACGGTTTCCAATTTCTGCAGTTCAAGGCACAAAAAGCAACTCAAATCAAATGAAATTCGTCCCTGGTTTCCCTTTCGCTTTTTCTGGTATTTTAGCCTGTCCATGTATATGGGGGAGAGAGCGACGCAAGGTTACAAATTAACCATTTTAAAACCAGCTGGTGTGAATTACTTTTTAAAGTCTGCATTAAAAGTTCTTATACTTTTAGAAGTAAGACACATATGATCTCTCTCCTTGTCTTTGTGAGTAAGATTGGGATCTTGATAAAAGGAGATGTAATCAAAGTCAGATTGATGGCAGGAATGTTTGATGGATTGCTGGTTGGTTTTGAGAGAGAAAAGGAAGATAAATACAGATGATACAAGGTGGATTCACTAACACTAGCTTCTATTGAATGGTTTGATATAGAGAGAGTGCTGGACATGAAAAAAGACTTTGATAGGGAAAGACCAAGCAGGTGGTTTTGGTATTAAGAAAGAGTAAGGTGGTCCTGCTGTGTGCTGCCAACTTCTCCCTTCTCTTCTCTTTCTGCCCCTCATCTTTCAACCCTCCACCTGCTGTCCTGACTTCTGCCTTCCTTACTCCCCCCCCATTTTACCTCTCCTTCTCTTTCACTCTGCCTCCTTCTATGTCTGTTAGCAACTGTAAGGTGACTGTCCTGATGAAATACCCAGAGTGTGACTCAGAGTTGACCAGTTCAGCATTAAAAAATGTTCTAGTGTAAAAAAAAATCTAGCGTGTGCGCGCGCACGTCCGTGTTTGTCTGTGTGTGTCCACAAATGGTGTACCGCAGTTGACGGATAAGGTGATTAAGAGTACACCCGGGAACCAGGAGAGTTAAAGGACACAAGGATAACACACACGCACACACACAGTGCCCTCCAATGAAAGTTTTCTGTATGGTTTTAAAAAGTAAAGGACAGAGGAGAGAGGATTTGTCTTCGATAGATGCAGCCACCCTTTATAAAGTAACAAAGTGACTCTCAAACTCTTCAAAGTAAAAAAGTTTTTCAGTGCCTCAGAGATTGTAAATACAGCTGTTAATGCTGCCACATGAACAAACCTCTGGATACCACTTTTCACACTTGAAATACGCAACTTTGATATATTTAGACATGTATACGGTATAATTAATCATCCTTACTCGCTAGCATTTAAGTTTGTGACGTGACACTTCATCATTCAGTTACAAGTCTTGCTCTCCCATTTACGCAGAAACACAAAGACATACCTGCACGATCCATACACATGTGTACACAAACAAATATTTGTAGTAATGTAAACCTGTGCAGACATAAGTATGTACAGAGAATTTAACACCCCTAATGAGTATGTATTCGTGTGGCTATGCCAGTTTGTTTCACTGAAATTGTGTGTGGAGAGTTTTTAAGTCAGCTCCCAGTACTCTAATCTTGCAAATGCACGCCAAGGTTATGATACATAATTTGAGTGGATAAAAAGGGCTGTTTTGCAGGTCCTTTTATCCAGATCATACTGACACTGTAAGCCTTTGAGTTACACCTATGAGCTTGGATGAGCATCACGTTTTCCCCTTTCCGCACTTCATTCCCTGCATATGTTCTTATTTAGAAATCCATCAGCGCCATAAATAAAGTCACCTGCTAAGTCCTGCAACACTGCCACCCCTCTCAGGTTACAATTTGTTTTATGGCCTTTTTCTATGGCAGGCTAATTATTTTAACATGTGTTAAGCTCAGCTGCCGATATGGGGATACATGCACAAAGTATACCGTGTGGCAGCTGACTAGGGCGGGAAAAGCAGTGAATTATGTTTTTAACTCTGTTTAATAGATGGACTCAATCAAACGAGAGATGCACAGAGTTAAGAGTGAAAGCATTTTAGTGTCATAGTTAGCACTGGACTCAATGTAAACAGCTGAAGCGTGGTAACCCCTTTTGAACTCTCTCAATTGATAAAATAGTGTCATTTGTGTATACCTATGTAGAAAAGTGTGGCAATGTGAGGAAGCATAGTTGCAGAGAAAAATATATGAAGCATAAAGATCAGTTAAATGAATCTCTGCTTCTTTCCATCCATTCATCCATCAACCCACAAGGGTTTTTGTGTTTTCATTGATATCCTACAACGCCTTTTCTCTACCTTCCTTTCTTTTGTCTTTTTGTCTTTGTTGTTCCTATTTAAACGTCTGGCTAATTGTCTTAAAGTCTGCTACTGTGAGCATTTTTTTCCTCAAAATCAGCAGAGCCCTCTCTAAAACGTTCTGTGAAAAAAATGGCAGTGCATTCCATGCTTCTTTGTAATGCCATCATTTATCACAGTATGTGGACCATTAGTGTGAATCATTTATTGTCTTTGGCGTGCTGGAGATCCCTGAACTCTGGCAAGTCTATATGGAATGAAAGCAAGGTTTAAATATTGTGCATAGTGATTGAGGGGCAAGCATGCAACAAAGCAGCCTGTGTTTAGTGTGTGAAGCAAAGCACTTGAAATCACGATCAGCAGTGTGTCTGTGTGTAACTGTTGTAACTACATTGTTAAAATGCAAACTGTGTGTGTGTGTCAGTGTGTGTTTTGAGCTTTAGTTGACACTAAGAACTTACAGCTAAGTGTTTTTCCTTGCTGTGTACATTTCTAAAGTGACAGGAGAGTGGGAGAAGTCAACATATGCATGGCTGACTTTCAGCCACCAACTCCATAATTACTATGTCACAGTTGCTGTGGAAATTAGGTGATGAGCCCGGTTTACAATGACATGGCACCATCTCCTGAATGGTTCTGAATCACAAGATGCTTTTTCAAAATGGCCTCCCACACACATCCGCTTTCCATTGAGATGTTTTTTTTTGGATGAGTATTGGTGCTGTTGTGTGTGATGTTTCCGGATTTGTCCTAGTGAGCGATTAACCGACTTACCAGTATGAGCTATGTAGATTACCCATTTAAATTCAAGGGCTCGACCTCACCACAGTGTGGGATGTGAGCTTTTTCACTACCATGTCTTAACAGTATCACTTATAGTTTAGTTTATAATTATGTCATTTCTACAATGATTTTCTCATATGCTCTGGTTCACCTAATAGCCTGTTCTGTAGTATTCATTAAGCTTCTTGTCTCTCTTTGTCTCTCCCCTCAGACCTGAAGAAGTCATTTGAACAGGAACCCTTGGGAAAGGAAGTATCTCTGGAGCAGGAAGTGCTGTTACAGTGTCGCCCTCCTGAGGGCATACCAGCTGCTGAGGTATGTGCAGCGTTATTGTTAACCTCCACCTGACGTGCATAAAGAAAGATGAGAGATTAAGAGAGAGGACTTCTAGAACAGAACGAGTGGGTGACTGAAGAGACGGGATGACAGAATGAAGACACCAGGAGGATGTAAAAAGATGTAAAAATAGAAATCATCAAGTGGAAATAACTTGAAAGTGCAACAGAAAAGTCAGTTATTACAGATGTGACACTTTTTGAAATTGCCTGGAACTTTGAATGACAGACAGCAGAACAGAGTGGTTTGATGGGTGCATGCACTCTTTCACAGTCTGCAGTCAATGGTTGAAGGATGTGCAGAATAAAAATGTATCCTGACCCTTTTGACACATTGTGTTAAATAGCTTCATTTTTTTATATTATGCCTAAAGCAAAAGCAAAACCTGATACTGCTTAATATCTATATTAACCAAAATAACTCACCCATTCCAACAGGGAACATCCAAAAAATGTATTAAGTAACTATTAGGGGTGTGGAACGCTTCCTTCTAAGACGATCCGATACATTTATAGGTACATGGGCTACGATGCGATTCCGGGACGATGCATTCATTCAGCTGATTCATAATTTTAAAATCGGTCCATCAACAAGTTCATGGTACATTTAGATCAATCCAAGGGTCGGTATCGTATCGGTATAATTTTACACCCCTAGTAACTAACCTTAATACAAGGAGGGCCAATGTTTAACGTTAGCATAATACGATTACACACGTCTTGTTTTTAAACATTTCTTCAGCGTGTTTTCATAAGTATAAAGCTTTGTTTCAGATTGCGCAACAGCACTCGTGTTGAATTGTCACAGAGGGAAATCAGCCTGAATCCTGTTTTGAGTGACATTTGCTTGAAAGCTCTGCTCCAACGAGGTAATACTGATCCAAAGATCCAAAGTTTAAACCTAGACTTAAACGTCTCTGGAGAGCCAATTTGAGTTGCAGCAAAAGTTACATAAAGAAATCTCAGTGACTGCAGAGGCTTAGCCTATATTCCTGTTATTTTACATTTTCATTGCTCACTCTCTTACTATACCTGAGCTTTGCAGAAAATAATGAGGACAGTAAATGGAAGTGGATTGTCTGGATCATTGAAACAACAGTGCCATGGTCACTTTCATTAGCAGAGATGTGTAAATATATATTGCTGAAAACTGAACTGAAGTGAATACACTTCACGGTAAAGAGGGCACAGTGAATGACCCAATTGGCTTCAACTTCATTTAGGGGGGAATCACATTTTCTCATATTAGCTACCTAGTAAAATCACTGCATCATTCGTTTAGCCTATAAGTGGTTACTTTACTGCCTTGCACAAGGACACTTTGATAAGCAAGGCCGACTTTATGAGGTCAGAGGTTCCCAGCCATGCTAGTTATTTGAACAGGTGTGGATTTCAAGTATAAACATGTGAATACAAGTGTGATAAATACATCACACCATCACAACACTACCCTCATCCATGTAATATAATATTATATGCCTAAGTACATTGTCAGCACATCGACATTTTATTCACTCATCAAATGTGTCGCACAGTAAATATCCACTTTGGAAGAGCCACACATGTCACTTCCACTGCCTCAGGGCCTTAACTACAGAGAAAAACGTCTTTCACAATTCATATTGTTCTTTACTTTCCTAGTTTCATCTGGCTGCGTTCCCACTTGAATGGCTAAAAAGACATAATTTCATTTACTCGGTCACAGGGGAAGAGCAGCACAGCACTTGGAGAGGGCTGCGCTACCGGATAAGGAGTCTGTGAATCAGGTTTCACTCCTCAGAGTTTGATAGTCGTTTTCAATTGCACCTAAGTACACAGCTCCCCTGAGAGAGAGAGGGAGAGAGAGGGAGAGAGAAGCTGAAAGAGAGGGGGTGAGGGAGGCACTCAGACAGACTAGCATACAAAGTGAGGGAGAATGTGTGGGGAAGAAGTGGAGGTTGAGGTGGGCCAGAAAAAGAAGAAGGAAAAAGAGGAATGAGTGGTGGAGAATAACAGTGATCCCCTCCTGTTCTTTCACTTCTAGAATCCCTAATTCTTCTGAGGGAAATAAAACAAATACATTGGACGAATTGTGACATTAGTTTTACAGTGGAAGCCACAGACTTTCAAACGCACACACAAAGGCTATTTTTCAAAATGTTTTGTCTCTTTTTCTATCACACTCACACATTCACACTCACACATTCACACTCCTTCATCTTGAAGACAGATCTCTACACTAATGACTCATTACTACTTTTGCCTCATTCGCTTCATTTATTTTTTCACACCTGTTTGAAGACAACACATTAATGCACACAGACGCCTTTGTGTTTGTGTACTTACAAACCACATGCACACACACACACAC